GGAGGAGGAGGAGGAGGAGGAGGAGGAGGAGGAAGAGGAGGAGGAGGAGAGAAAAATAGAGGAGAGAACCGGATAAGACAGACCCATCTGCCAATTTTATAGACATCAAAACGTTTGTAATATTTGAATCTCCTTTGTCTTCCTTTGAATTTCCTTCAATTGCAAAGTTCATTATTTGCCTTAAATTCCAATGCATCTTTTTGCACCTCATGCTGTTACTAATTTCTTCTCTAATTATACAATGACACATAAACACAATTCATACTAACAAGTGTCCCACCAATTAGAGTTATTCTTCCAATATATTGTCCCCTTCTCTCTCATTAAGGGGTCTTCATGTTTTCCTCTGGGGTTGTTGGAAAACAGAGGCAATGTAATTGTTAATAGGTTCCAGCCTTATCTTTTTCTTCTTATGTACCTGAGGCTCATTTCAGTGTAGCTGTCAAATTGTGATGGGATGCACATGCAAACTGATGCTGTAATTAAAAAAAAAATGACTTTGCTTCTTTGTGGGAGTTAATTTGCCCATTCTTTGTAATAGAGCTGCCTTTGCTACAAGTAGCTGCAGTGTCAGAGTGCAGGGGAGAGTTGACAAGATACAGCAGATTTGCACGGTACTTTTTGAGCTTGAAAACAGGATTTCACTCTATTTTTCTATTCTCGTGGTGCCTTTTAAGTTATCAAGCTAGGCGAAAACTTCAGATTAAAGAAAAAGTCCCAGTGAGTCTCTCCAAACAGAAGGGATTTTCAGCCTCACACAAATCTTCCACACCTATAGCTTTCCTACTACCCAGTACAGTCTTAATTTAAAATATTCTTGTCAGGGAGAGGGGTCCAGTGAAGGTAGGGGAGAGCCTATTAGAAGGGTGCAGATGGCGGGGTCTAAATATGATCAAAATACATTGTATGAAACTCACAAACATTAATTTTAAAAAAGACCATATGATTTAAGAAATAAAAATAAACAAAAATTACATTTCCTCAACTAGAGAAAAAAGGAATAGAGAGATGGAGTGGATCTGCAGGAGTTAGAGGGGTGAGTTGGGGTGGATATGATAAAAGTACATTGTATGAAATTCTCAAAAAAAGTTAAAATATTTTTAGAAATCTGTTTAGAGGGCTTGAAAGATGGCTCAGTTAAGAACACATACTTCTCTTGCAGAGGACCTGAGTTCAGTTCCCAGCACCCATTTTAGTGAGTCAAAGCTGCTTGTAATGTAACTGCAGCTCCAGGGGATCTGATGGCCTCTCCTGGCCTCCATGAGTATTACACTCACATACACACACCCACAGACACATACGTGCACATAACTAAAATGGATGAAATTAAATTTTTTTACTTAAAAAATCATTTTAGTGCTGGGTATAGTGGCATGTGCCTTTAATCCCAGCCCTCGTGAGGCAGAGGCAGGTGGATCTCTGTGAGATCGAGGCTAGCCTGGTCTATATAGTGACTTCCAGGACTAGGAAAACTGTGTAAAAAACTTATTTTGTAAAGTTTGCATTATATTTTCTCATCCTTCTGTAAAATAAAATTTAATCCTTTTTTAATAAAAAAAAAAACTGTTAACTTTGGGTTTGTATTCAAAAACAGTGCATGCACTTAAACGTGGCATCTGCTGTGTGGGTTTGTCCAATTTGTCCATTCTTTATTAAGTTATCTTTCTTGTTTATTGCCTGGCTTACAAACTAGACATTATCTTTTCTCCCAATAACTATTTTAAAGAGGGCTAATGACCTTGGTGGGTATGATTATGTTTACTGATAGGAAGAAAAATAATTTGTTCCAAGTACTTTAACATTACTTTTGAGAATAGCTTCTACAATGTTCTGAAAACAAAGAAGAAATTTATTTGCCCTTGGTGATAACATTTCTTTAGTGAATGCTTTTCACATATGAGTGAGTGCCTGCTAGCACTTGAATTGCTTAAAATGTGACATGTGACAAAAGGCTGGGAATTAAGAGAATGGTCACTCATGTTAAGTAAATATTGCCATAAGTCAAATTCTTACTCTGTAAGAAATGCACAAGCTCTTTTCTTCAGTAGAACAGCAGTAATGATTTCATTAATATTGTGAAGTGCTTTCTAGCTAGATGAAGAGTATTGTAAACCAGGCTAAAAGGGATGGTTCCCCTATTTGGTGGTAAAAGAACTGGAGAGCTGGAAATGCCTGAAAAGGGAGCCCCTGGCAGTGTGGAGGGTGGGTGGGCCAAGGAGAGAACCATGGTAGGGGCAGTAGGGGCAAAGGAGGATTGTTGTCTGGCTCCTGTTCTTAAACTAGAATTCCAGGAGTTTCTTCCAAAATGGTATCTAAAATGGAATGCACTAGAATCTACCTTCTCTGTTTTTAGTTCCTTTTCAATTATGAAACTTGGGCTGGGATTGGGAAACCTAGTTAAGCACTAAACCAAAACTAGCTCTGGAGAAAGGAGAGCTGAGAAAGTAGGAGGATACAACTTCTGGTATGACTAGCAGTGACATACTCCTGAAAGTGCCCTCCCCTCGGCCCCACCCCATCACTTGCACTACCCAGTCCTGTGGTGATTCTCTAAATGGTCACAATTAAAATTTGAAAGCTAGATTGTATAATTTCCTCAGAAGTTTATAATGGCTTCCCATCACCTCAAAAAATCCTGATTTTATTACTGTACCCTAAAACCCTAACAAGCGTCTGGAGAATGATCTGGCCTCTCACTGTTTCTTGGGTAGCTTTCTTTTCTTTCTTTGCATTTATTACATCTCAGATGGAAAGAATGGTAAAAAGGCAAGTAAGCAGTGGAGAAAGAGAAAAGGATAGCACAACCGTGGGAGAGTGCATGTTTCCTAAGACTTGGAGGCTTCTGTAAAACTATAGTGAAGACTGCCTCTCTCACTGCGTGTGGTGGGCCACACTGAGCAGTTTTGAGTGAAGGCATGATGTGACATGTTAAATGATCCCTTTTGCTTCTGGGTTTTTTTCCCCAGAGACAAAAGCAGGGCTTCCCTGATTATTGTAGAGTGAGTGAGATTTTGAAGGCTGGTCAGATTCTAAATATAGTTATATTTTGAAGATAACATCACCAGATTTGCTGATGAGTTGAGAATATGATGTTAGAGAAAGAATAACCCCATTGCATGATTTGAGCAATTTGAAGGCTGAGGCAATTTTGGGGATAGAAAGTTGGAGCTCCATTTGGACTGGATCCATGCTGGTTGCCTGTTAGACATTTGCTGGGGAAGATAGAACAGCCGTGGAAAATGGTGGCTTTTTAACCAATAAAGAGGACCCTATTAGAAACTTGCTTCACACCGGTATGTCAGTGCCATTTATTTTGTTTTATTTTTAATTGCTTTGTTTTTATTTTTATGTGTATGAGTATTTTGCCTGCATGTATGTAAGTGTCCTTGGAGACCAAAAGAAGATATCAGGTCCATTGGAACTGGAGTTAGGGTCAGTTTTAGCTGACATGTTGGTACTGGGAACTGAACTTGGGTCCTCTGCAAAAGCAGCCAGTGCTCTTCCTGAGCCGTCTCACCAGCCTCAGTATATTAATGCCATTTTAAAGCTAAGACATTATCTAGTTTTAACAAAAAGAAGTCTAAAGCACACCAACTTTCTCAGGAAGTGGCAGTAGAAGATAGAAAAATGCTCTCAGAAGGCAGGAGGGATCCCAAGGCCAGAGTGTGGACCAGAAGCTGAAGGAATAAAGGATTTCAGAAAGCGAGACTCTGATATTACTAATAAGAAAGATGAAAAGTCCAGTAATTTGATGGAATGGAAGGAATGAGCTGGACTGCATTGTGGTCATGAGAAAATATGTAGGTAGGATGAAGAAAAACTGTCAAGGACCTTTTCCTCCAAGGGGAGGGTGAGAAATCGACTGAGTTGGAAGGGAACTCAGGTCAGAGAATGTTTTGTTATTTTAAGAATGAAGTTATTTCCATGTTGATGAGAATGATCTAGTAGGGAGGATAGAGATGGTTCAGAAGACAGAAAAATTACAGGAGCAGAGGAGAGGCAATGGGCTCAAGTCTTTCACAGAGAAACTAACCTTAGCTAAACCCTAAGGCAGCTCATTCATGTCACAGGAGAGAGGCAACACAGGGATGTGGGAATAGGGGCTGGTAAACTGGTGGGATATTATGGAAAGATTTTCGTGTGTGTGTGTGTGTGTGTGTGTGTGTGTGTGTGTGTGTGAGTATGTGTACACATGCGTGTGTGTTAGGTGGTGGGGGCGTTGCTTGATTTGTTTGTTTTTGTTTCAGTTTTTTAAGAAGCAAATACAGGGGTTGATAAAGGGGTCAATGGTTAAGATGATTGGCTGCTCTTGCAGAGATCCCAGGTTCAGTCCCCAGAACTCACATGGAAGCTAATTGTCCATAACTCCAGTTCCAGGGAATCCAGCACCCTCTTCTAGCCAAGGCACTGCACAAATTCAGTGCATTTACATAGATGCAGGCAAAACACTCACACATAAAATAAAAATAAATATTTTTTTAAAGAAGCAAGGACATCATAAAGATGGAAATAAAGTTCTGGAAGTTTGAAGAGAGATGATAGAGATTGACTTATAGGTGTAAAGGTGACAGGGAAATATCTAGGATGATTGCTGGACAGCACTGGTGCCCACTTGAGGTCAGTAGGCATGGGCTTAGCATGACACCAACAAACCAGCTTGTTATGTATTAACCTCTGACCACTTAAAGCTGCACTGTTGGAGGTAGATAAATATAGTGTAACATACTAATATTTTATTATACAAGTAATGCCCTTTATTTCCTCATTTTTCAGGTGGTTAAATGGTTTTAATTGGGAGGGACTGAAAGCACGGAGTCTTCCATCACCTTTAAGAAGAGAGGTATGGTATTTGCTATATTTTCTTTTTTAAAAAATATTTTGTTTTGATTTATTTTGTGTGTATGAATGTATTGCCTGCATGTGTGTAAGTGCACCTGTGTTGTGTAATGCCCATGGAGGTCAAAAGAGAGCATTACAGATAGTTGCTACACACTGTGTGGGTGCTGGGAATTGAATCCAGGCCCTCTATAAGAGCAGTCAGTGCTCTTAACCACTGAGCCATCTCTCCAGCCCCTGCTATGATATTTTCATTTTTAATGTGTTTTTAAAATTCAGTTTTCAAAACTTCATATACTATTTCCCACTCATCCCAGACCTTCGCCCCCATCCATGACTCCCCCTATTCCCCCATCAAACCCTATGCACTCTACTATATGTGCTGAGTCCTATTCAGTCAGGTGTTTGTACCCAAATGTCCTTCAACGTAAATGCGTCCACTGGAGTCTAGTCAGCCCATCCGGTGGTCGTGTGTAAGTCATACTCTCCCTCATCCAGCAGCAATCAGTCTCAAATAGTTCTCAATCTAGTGCTGGCCTGCCACCTATTTCTCACCTCCTCTTTGGGCCCTTGTTTAATTGAGCTGACATGGGTCCTGCATTAGTGAAGAAAACCCAAACTGAAATACCCAGCCTGGGGAACTGGCTCAGTTAGCAAAGTGTTTGACACACAAATATGAAGACCTGAGTTTGGATCCCTAACACCCACACAGAAAGCTGTGTGCCACAGTGTACACACGTCATCCCTGTGCTGGGGAGACAGAGACAAAAGGCTCCTTAGAACTCACTGGTAAGATATTCTTGCCAAATCAAAAAGCTCGAGATTCAGTGATTAGACCTGTCTCTAAAAATAAGTTAGAGAGTGATTGAATAACAACACCTGACATCAGGCTCTGGCCTTCACATGCACACAGGCAAATATGCAGGTACACACACTAAACTACAAACACTAAACCATGTATACACACATATATCATATACACATACTGCATGCACACACACACACAAATAAAAATAATAGTATTGCCTATTTGGTAGGCACTAGTCATCACTTGGGAATTAAGTACATGCCAGTGTCATCTAAGTTCCAAAGTAGTCAGAGTTGGTCATGTGGACAGATGAAATGTAGCTTATTATTAACTATAAAAGTTGCAATATTTGTCATCTGACACTACCTACTACTAAAATATAATTATAACTGAATATAGAAGAAATGTTTATATTGTCACAGAAACTGAAAAAAATTGACTAAAATGCATTTAAAGAATGATCAATGAAGATGGTCAAGTATGAAACTATTTTTCATTAAGGAGAATTTTATTGGGGAAATAGAATGAAAATAAAAGGATAAAAAGAAGTGATATAATGTTGTTGCTTATGTTTTAAATGACTGATGGATGTAAAATCTCCCACTTGGCATTTAAATTACAGTAGATGTATTCTAAGGAATGAAGAAGTAATATTCATGCTTTATTTTGTGTCAATACTTATGTCAAAATAAAAAATCATTCTCTACAACTATTTATTTAAACTTTTATGAAGATGTCAGTGTACAAATGCACAATGGAACACATAGCTTCCACAGTTCTTTCAGACAGCACTCCTATAAATTTGGAAGAATGTTGACCTAGGTAACGCTTGACACACTTCTTTCCCCACGGTAGCTGAAGTCAGCTGCTTTCTCTGCACCTCTGCTGTCCAGTATGGGATCCACTAGCCGCAGGTAGTGGTATCCCAGAAACTGTTCTCCAACTCTCAGCACATCATTATCTATCATTAATAGTATTTTAATGAGGGGCTGGAAACATAGCTCAGTGATTCAGAGCACTGGCTGTTTTCCCAGAGACCTGGGTTCGGTTCCCAGAACCTACATGGTGGCTATCAATCATCCAAAACTGTAACTCACTTCCAGGAATCTGATGCACTTTTCTGATCTCTGTGGACATTTCATGTACATGGTGTACTTACACATATGTATGCAAAACAAATACATTTAAAAATATTATTTTAATGATGTTTTTCATATGATTACTTAATTAGGTATTATGCAGTTTGCTACAAAGTGAAGAACTGCAAATCACTTGGCTACAAAATAATTTAATGTTGTGGTTGTTAGCCTTAGCCTTTAACAGCTGTGCTATCCCTCCAGCCCGGCTACAAAATAATTTAATACCATCGTCATTTCAGTTTTTTCAACAACATCACTGATATTTTGAGTCTTTCATTTGTTTAGTATTTTATATATTTTATAAGGATGAATTAGCTGTATTTATATTGGTGAGGAAGTTATGAAATGTAAGAAGGACTGTGGTGAATTTTGGTTTTCAATATTTATTTGAAAATATTTCTCAATTTGATAGATAGATATTACTTATCTTTTCTTTAGAAAATGAATCCCCTGTGCGAGGTAGCTAGCTCCGGATGAATATGCAATCCAGCAACAAAATCACTTGCTTCTCATGAGGAGCTCTCATGAGGCCAGGGCTGGGACTCACTACCGACACTGGCCATCTTTTCTTATAGTTAATATATAAGCAGCAGTGCTCAGGAAGAAGATGCTTTACTTGAATGTACTAGCATGCCGATCAATATCACCCTCATCTTTGTTTTAATCCTTTTTGTATTAGCTCAGTGGACCCATAGATCACAGCTACTTTGACAAGTATCCTCCTGAAAAAGGAGTGCCTCCAGATGAGATGTCAGGCTGGGATAAAGACTTCTGACAGAAGAAAAGTGGTTATATGCTACAGAAGAGGACTATGAGGATCAATAACCCAACACCAATTATTTCTCTCTTCAAGTACCAGAAGATCTTTTGAAAGACCATTAGGGAAAAAAGAAAGCCCTGGCCAGGCGGTGAAAGAGAGCGGTATAGATGCACTTCTGAATGACATCTCCTGTAGATGCTGTGAATTATTCATGTATTCCATTCTGTGCTTATCTTAGATGTCAAAGGCTGCCCTCTGTCCCTTTCCATGATTACATCCATTTTTGTTGACATGGCATAGTTTTCTCTGAAATCTATTGCACCCCCTTGATTATGTTTTTCTGCTTTGAATCCTAATAATTATTAACAAGATCTTGTTCCTGAGCAACCAAGTCACACAAACAGAAGGAAGATTTCCCTAGGTCTCAACAAATGCTGTGAATGTAGTGTGGCCTCTTCAAATGGTGGTTTGCAGAAATCTTTGTAATCAACAGAAGCTCATGAATTTCATTTTCTTTCAGCCTAGAAGTATATTAAAATTTTTCTGTTGCCAGTTTAGGAGAAAGAAAATTTGAACATTAGTGGGTGATACCACTTCCTAAAGTGAGTCAATTAATCAAATCAGTTAACTATATTATTTTGGAAAACTTAGAAAAAAATAAAGCAAAGACTTTTTTTCCCCTTGTGATCAGCTATACTATCTCAGAGATTTTTCAAAAACATCATTAAAATTAGTTCATAATGTGAGGCTAAATGGGGGGGGGCTTTGGAAAGATTTTACCTTATATATGAAAATATTTCCATTGCCAAAGTAAAAATTGTGGTGAAATAAAATACTGCAGCCTTTTCCTTCCCATTAAAGATAGCACAATAAACTCTACTAGATAAGACTGCTGAGTCTTTGAAATTCCAAGATATTTTTGTCAATCCTTTTATTACTGCTAATAATAAACCCCAAAGTATAGAATGACCATCATTAATTTTTAATGGAAAGCCCATTGGCAAATGTTGATGCATTGTAATCACTGTGGAGTTAATAGCTCTGTTTAAAGACATTTGAGTCATACATATATTTACAATTTTAACACGAGCTATTTGATACGTGATAGGATTTTTGAAGTAAAGAGAACGCCCAGCATCTGGTCTCTTCCTGTCTCTTCTTGGCAGTCTTCCAAGGAATGAATAGGATGGTTTTAAAAGCTTCAAACACCTGTCCCTAAGAATTTTACTAGTGATTATTTGTATGTGCTGACCATGATCTCTCTCCTACCCTCCTTCCGAAATGAATGGCACCCAATCTTTCTGTATCTTTAAAATCTGGTAGAGTAAAAATGGCACCCGAATTCTTGCATTATTCCAGCTTCTGATTGTATTTTTATATGATAATAATATTCTATGTGAAGGGAAAGTTCTATCCACTCCATACATATATTTTCATCCTTTGAAGAAAGTCACCTGTATGAGTCTTGAAGATGTAAGCCAGATAAACAAGGCCCAGAGCAAGAAAGTGCATCCTTAACAATTTATATTACCACATTTAGAGTCCTTTTGCTGAACCAAAGAGTTTCTGTTTCTTGAAGTAGTATTTTTAAACATTATGTATTGTACATAAAAGAGCCATTTTTAATAGGATTAATATAACCTGCTTAAAGAATTTCTAAAATTAAAAATATTTTTATTTGCATTTGGTATGTACTGTATGTTTTTCCATGTATATATTTTAAATTTACCAACATATATAAGTAGAAAATTTATGTATTAGATGGACATTAGAATTGTACAGTTATAATAGCAATATTTTCAAAGGCATTCCATGATTGTAACACATAAAATCCTACATCTATAGAGATAAAACCCACCTACTACAGGTTAATTTTCCCTGTGATTGGTCATATCATATGAAATTCCCACGTGAGTTTATTGTATTTCCTTTGTAAACATGAAGAATGAGAGATGGAGCCATGATATCATCTCAACTCCTTGATTTCCAGCTCAGTGACCTTGGGGAAGTGACATATCTTTGAGTACTAAACTTTCTCTCTTAGAGAAAAATGTACAATAAAGGAACGTGGGCTTTAGGAGCTTGTTTAAGAGAGTAAATGAGATGTTTAGAGAGACCATTACCTGATATTTGTGAAATGACCTTGCTGCCAAGATGGGAGCTGCTGTTACTATCTCTGTTAAAATTAAAGGGGCCTTAATAACCGTTTTATCCTGAACCTTATGTGTCAATGGTATCTGTGTGCAGAATTGTTGAGTAAAAGGCAGTCTCTGTCTTTAGTCTCTGCAGTCACAAAGTAGAGATGGTTGATCAAATTCAGTATATAAGAAGGTTACTCCTCACCAAAGGAAGTGCTTTATTAAACTGACCTAAATTAAAATGTTTATGAATTAAAGACATTCATGTATGCACACATATACATAAGGAAATAAGGAAAGCTGTCTTTATATGTGAAAATTCATACTATTTTTTAATCATTAAATCACATCTAACCTCTTTTTTTCTGGAATATAAGATTAATTTTTCATTCATCAGGGGTCAAACTTTCATGATTGTAGTTTTTTTAATCTTTTCCTAAATATTAAAATGTCTGGAGGAAAGAGAATGTATTAATGAAAATGAGGCTTAGTAAAATAGATAAATAAATAAATAGATGGGGCCCATATTTGCATGACTTTGAAGAACAGACCACATCGTTGTTCATCTGTAATTTGGAAATAAACATTTAAATTTTTGAAACATTGTACTTAAATCATATTAAGAGCAGGTATCAGATAATCACTTAGAAATATGTGCACATATTTCTTTTAGCATAGTAACAAATCCTGTTCTTTATTGCTAGGCATCATGCTGGGAACACTTAGGTCTATTGTTTCATTTACATAAAATGCTTCAATTTTTATGAGCAAACCAATTGTTGCCTGTCCCCAAAACTATGCATTAGCCTCAAATACATATTACATGCCCAATTTAGTTGTGAATAGTCCAACTGTACCCAAACTTAGAACACTCATTAAAAAAAACATCATTTTATTATTATTCTTGATCCTTGGAATCAGGAATTTAGATAAGTGGCAAAGATGGTCAGTCCTCACCATAATATCAATGATTGGGAGCTGGAATGACCTAAAACCCCCTTCACTCATGTATTTGGTGCCTTTCCTGGAACTTTTCAATGGCTAATTGAGAGTGGCTAATGACTGTACAAGTGGCATACACATGTTCTCTCCATAGCTTGGATTCCTTACACCATGGCACCCTTATACCATATGCTTTCATGGCAACACTGATTGCAAGAGTGAAGGTTCTAGTCAGTGAGGTTGATGCTACATTATCCTATGTGGATCACTCCTGGAAGTGGTAGTGATATAACATCACCTCTGCTATAGTCTATCAATGGAAACATAAACCCACCCAGATGTGAGAGAGGGGAGCATAGATGTGACTTCTTAATGAAGAAAGTTTCAAACACTTTGCAATTCTTAAAAGTGCCAGAATCTGCTTTCTGACCACATATTACATTACTCCCATATGCTGAACAAATTCATTCTCTCCCAAGAGCCGCTATAAAAATATCATCAGGCTGAGGCTCAGCATTCAAGATCTTGTCATCTAAATCTCATTCAGGTGTGGATCATGCACCCTGGGCACAGTATCTTGAGTCTATTCTTTCAGGTCTGAAAGCCTATGAAACAAGTAAATAAGTCATCAGCCCTGACACAATGTTGAATGGTGAAGTGATCAAAGTGTCTCTGCAACAGATATTTGCATTAGGAGAGGGAGAAAAGTGGAGGCACAGGCAGATATAACAGATGTTTTCGACCTATAGTCTGAGGGCTGCAAACATCCCAGGATAGCTATGAATATGGCCCAACACATTTGTACATGACAGCATCATGTCCATTGTCAGAAGGTTGGACACCCCTGGTTGCAATAATCCTGGAATCTGGGCCTGATTCCCGGTACCATTCTGTGTAGTGGGATCAATGCTACTTGCTGGAAATAATTCTTAGTTATTGGTCATGTATGAATTTGCAATCCACTCCATTAGACATGAACCATGGTAAAAAAAACAAACAAAACAACTTGTAATGATGTGAGAAAATTTCCTTGCATTTTTACAAGTTCTTGGTGCCATTTTGTTTTTTGTTTTTTTTTTTTAAAGAGAAGAACTGTACAGCACACGCTTGCGATGCTTCAAAGATCTGTTTGAAGGTTGTGGCAAGTAGCTTCAAAGATAAAGATACTCCCAGTCATCCCTCTTAGGACATTCCTGCCTTTTATAATCATCTTCTCTTGAAAGCTGTGGTGCTACATGTATCTGGAATTCCAGCGCTGGTGAGGTAGAGGTAGAAGGATCAGGAGTTCAAGGTCACCTCTGGGTACAGTCACTATGGAAATCAATGTGGAGATGCTTCAAAAAGCTAGAAATTGATCTACCATATGACCCATCCATACACTTGGCCATATACTCAAAAAACTATATCTCACTACAGAGATACCTGTTCATCTATGTTCACTGTTGCCCTTTCCACAAAAGCCAGGAAATTGAAACAACCTTGATGTCCATTAAGTGATAAATAGTGAAAGTATGGTACATTTACATGTTGGAATATTATTCAGCTGTCAAAGACATGAAATTATGAAGTCCACAGGTAAATAGATGAAACCGGAAATAATCATCCTAAGTGAGTTAACCCAGACAAAGAAAGACAAACGTCACATATTCTCTGTCATGACTGGGTGCTAGCTTGGAATTCTTAAATATATATTTCAATTGGAAAATACAGAGCCATCAGAAAGCAAATAGAAGTCTGGGGTGGGGGTTCATGGGTGGGCAGGTAGAATAAAGTGATAAAGAGGAAAAAGGAATAATAGAGTATGAAGGATTAATTGGAGTGAGGAATAAGAGGGCGGGGCAAAGGAGGGAGTGGAGTATGGGGAGGGCTAACTAACAATAAAGTCCTTAAGAAAAAGCCACATAGAAAGTTACCACTATAGAAATGTCTCAAAGTATATACATATACGTTATAAAAGGAGTTACCTTATAACAACGGGACATTGCCCCTTCTAAACTCTATAGGTTAGCAAAGTAAAAGTCCAATGCCAGGGATGAACTCCCTCTTTTGATGCTATTGACCAGGGGTTCCGTAGACCCTCAAACAATACTGACCATTGCTCCTGCTCTTGTTACCCACCAGAACTTGATGGGAAGACTCTATTTCTGAAGACCTTACATGCATGAGCTGTAGAAAAAACAAAGAGAAATCAAGCTGGTACTGACTTCAGAGTTTCATCTCTACTAGACTGCTTTCATGGTGTTGAAAAGGTACTATGCATACTCCAGGAAAAGAAAAAGTCATTAACCTTATCCAGCTGTGAATCTTGCATTCTTCAACAACTGAGCCAGCAAGATATGACCTCTGGTGCAATAGTGGCATGATATGATGGGCATAAACAACCACTTTCTAATTAGATTTATGGTCCACTTCATAAGATAGAGCCCATACCTGACATTGATTTCAGGCCTAAGAACATGTGGCTAGATAGGTCATGGACCATAGAGGAGAGCTTAATACTATTAATCTGCTAAATAGATATAGTATTAAGGTGACTCCTAATGACATTTTGTTATACCCATAGATTAATGAATCTCTCACCTCTCACCAGAGAAGCTTCCTCATGCAACAGATGGTAGTTAACATAGAAACCCACAACTTGCCAAGGTGCAGAGAATAAGAGACTATAGAGTGATTATTTCTGAACTGGATTCCTATATCAAACTTCTGCCTCCTAAGGTTCAAGAATCTTTACAGAAGATGTGGTGGAAGATTGTAAGATTCAAAGGCAGTAGATGACCAGAAAGAAACGAAGTTTTCCAGACAGCTGAGAAGTTACTCATATGAGCTCAGAGCAACAGTGACAGCATGCACAAGTCCCATGTAAGCTTAAGTAAAAAATCCTAGCATAGATGTGAGGAAGTGGGTAAGAAACCTCAACAGTATCTCAGGAACTATTGGCAACCAATGGCTGCTGGGAGGGAGAGAGTTAGAGTCAGTCTCCTTTAAGGGTGTGACTCTCCAGTAGATGAATCCATGCTGAAGGATATCTGGGGACACAAATTTGATAGAGAGAGAGAGAGAGAGAGAGAGAGAGAGAGAGAGAGAGAGAGA